GGGCTTTCTGGCTCTGCTGGGCATGGCTGTTCCTCAGGAAGCATTGGGTGCACTGTGCCAGCTGCAGAGGGAAAACCTGGGCTGGCACCTCCAGCCCCCAGCCTTGGCACAAAGAAGCCCGCATCTTCCCTAAACCACTTGTCATAACAGCAAAGGAGCCAGGCACCCGCTCCCTGCTCCAGTGGGAAGGAAGGGCCCTTCTCTATCAGCTCCGCCAACCTCCCAGCCCGACCTCGGCTCTCAGCAGAAAATGACCTCTCCTGGCAAGAGGAACATAGTCGAGACTTCTTGGAACAATTTGCAGAACCAGCTTTGGAAGAGAGACTTACAAAGAATCCAGGGTCAAACTCTTTAACGCTGATGCCTTCCTGTTTACCCAATGATTTAGATACGATTAGACTGATGGAGACATAATATCCTCCAACCAGCTGGCCTGGAGCCTGCCGTCCAGACCTCTAATGGTGTGACAAGGAAGCAGGCCCTACAAAACCTGGTGGCAGGCTCCAGACAAAGACCTCATTCTATGTGTCCAGCACTGCTCCCACCCTGACCGAGTGGCTGCCAGGGACTGGAGGCTGAGAGCCAGGGCCCAGGGCCGGAGGCCGGGGCAGGACTCGCATTAATTTCTCGGGTCTTAAGTCCCCATTCACTTCCTGAGCAAAAAGAAACCTTCAGATGGAAACCGCAATAGGCAGTTTTCGTTCTTATCAGCATTTGAAGTGATCACGTGAAAACCAGAAGATGCTTTTGTTTCATTCTGTTTTAGGGGGATGCTGAGTGGAAGGGGAAGTTACCACCACCACCAGACTGCTGGCTAAGTAACAGGCCCTTCTGGCACAGGTTGGAGGCAAAACCTTAGTGAGAGGATCAGAAATGCCCAAGAAGCCCTTGTGTAGAGCATATGTATTTATTTTGCAATTAATCAAGGGTCAGAGGCCCCTTCTAACCATCCCCCTTTGGGCCTCAGTCTTCGAACTTAGGCTACACAACACCTGAGAAAATGATTGATTAGCCAAGAAAGCCAGCAAGGCTGCTTGTGGAGAGCAGACACAGAAGGAGAAGCAAATCTGTGAAACCGTAAGCTCCCAGCTGGTGACGATGGTGGGTTCAGAGCACTCTGCAGTATAGTTCCCAACCTCAGATCAGCTCTCAGGTTTCGCTAAGCAGTGGGAGTGGGCACTGTACACAGAGACAATGAACAGAAATACACCTGCTCAGCAGCAGGGCCCACAAACGTAAGCTGTCAGGCTCTGAAGCAGACTGCATCTAGCACTTCACATCACGTTCAAGTTATCACTCACGTCACATACCTTGGCAAGACCTTCCATCCTCGTTGAGGGTAAAACCTGGGTTGCACGTACAGGAATAGGATCCAGGAACATTGGCACACAGCTGCTGGCAGTAACCATAGCGACATTCGTCTATATCTGGAAACAGAAACACAAGCAAGGTAAGACAAGTTTCCTTCTTGATCACTGATGCCAACACCAGCCTCGCGATTGCCCGCCTCTTCTGAAGTGGGGCCACAGAAAGGCAAGAAGAGGAACGAATGCTAAGAAAGTACCTACTAAATGTGAAGTATAAGGGTGCTCTCTGGATTCTCTGAGACTAAGTCTCACTACAATCCTCTACCTCCCAACCCACATTAGTCCCATGAACACCTGAACCTATCTTGAAAGTTGCTGAAGAAATTTCTGCTTAGAGTGGGATGTTGGGTGAGATGACATCTGAGATTTTTATCCAGCTCTAAGATTCTAACATCTCTATATGATCTTTGCACTGTCCTGGGAGGGGACAAATTAGCTTAAAGTGTAAGAGGAATCCATAGCATCGCTCCAATAGGCTCCTCGCCAGCTAAATTAACAATGAACATGTCCAGCTGTCACGAGCAGAGCAAGTGTAGGCCAGGATGAGCTGGGTAGCATTACAGTCTGGAGATCCATGAATTCAGGAACACAAGGAGGCTGGAGTTCGCCCTGGATCCCCTCCTTGCACCTGAGTGGACATAATACTGTGGATAAGCACAACTCCTCCAAGTCACGGCTGGTCTTTCCAGAGGAAGCAGCAGCATTGTGGGTGAATGGTTCCTTCCAGCAGAGTTGGGCAATATGGCCTCCCACTGACATGGATCAAAAGATGGGGAGCCTGACGTCACAGGGAAAGGACTCCCCAATACCCTAAATTGACAGGATGATGAGCTGGAGAATTACCTCCTGTGGGATAGGGTGTTGGGATGAGTGATGAATGAGACCATCAGCCTATAGGTGGAGACAGAATCCTCACCTATACAAGTGCCTTCTGTGACCAGTTGATCTGACTGGAGCTGTAACTGGTCCCTAACTCATCCCACCTCCCCCTTAGCTAACCACATTCCCTCCCTGGTACTCCAACTACTCTGGAACCAGGGTCCATCCGTGTCTCTGGAGGCCAGTTCCCAGCCTCAGTACCTATGCCTGGTTTCTACTACTTACTTCCAGAAAGACTCTGCCTCCACCTTACCTATTGGTGAGCTCTACTCAGAGTGTGTGCCCTGCCCTTGAGAATCTGTTTTAAATCTGAGTCCCAGCTACTTCTAACCTGGCCCACCCTACTGCCCATGGAGTGCTGTGTAGCTCCTGCTTGGAAAGCTCACTGACGGTCCTGGTCCTGACCTCTTCCCAGGGTGCAGTGGGCACATCACCAAGGCTCAGGGAGGCAGCAGGAGGAGAGGCACCCTTTGCCTAAGGGTACCTTGGAGAAAAGCCAGCCCTGCCTTGTCTTCCATGGCAAAAGCAAAGTCTGCACAGGTGCCCAAAGCAGGTGATAGACAGATGTGGAACCTGGTCTTTGAAAAAGAAAGAAGAATTTGGCCAGGGGAAGGAATGCGTTCAATGACAATTAGGAAAGGTCTTCACTTTAGATGTGAAGTGTGAAGGGCTATGCCACGTGGTACCACATTAGGGCCTTGTGGGCATCTCTCCTGAAGCTTCCTACCCTGTGGAAGAGAACAGCCCTCCCACATAGAGGAATGGCCGATTGCTGGCACTCCTCAAATTAGGAGGGGTTTTCCTGGCCCAGGTGTCATTGTTAGCTGCCGCTGAGTCAGCCCCTGACTCTTGGCGACCCTGTGCACAATGGAATGAATAGCTGCCTGGGCCTGCGCCATCCTCATGATAGACTGCAGATCGGACCGCTGGGATCCATAGGGTTTTTAACTTGGCTGATTTTTGGAAGTCAATCACCAAGCCTTTCTTCCTGGTTTGTCTTAGTCTGGAAGCTCCACTGAAACCTGTTCAGCATCACAGCAACACATAAGCCTCCACTGACAGATAAGTGGTGGCTGCATATGAGGGGCACTGGCTGGAAATCGAACCCAGCATTTCCCCATGGAAGGTGAAAATTCTACCACTGAACCACACAATGGAGCCTGTGTATCCTTCTCACCTGAGCTTCTCTAGCACCTTTTGTGGTGGGGAAAAAAAAAAAAAAAACTGGACTGAGAAGAAGGAGACAAATTTTAGATAAAACTCACTGGGACTTTTTTTGAAACGTTCTACCTCTTTGAGTCTCAGTTTCCAACTCTCCAAAAGTTGGATGAAATAACATCTAACATCCTTTCCAGCTCTGCAATTCTACATATTAAGTTCCCATACACATAGCTCACTTGCACGGATCTGCTAATGTTCAAATGAGGGGCATCAATTTTTTCATTATAGCAGAAGCTGGTAAAAACGCACAGCGACCGTCATATTCACAAATGCCTGTGTGCACGCAGCCCTGTAGTGCATGCCTGGAAAGGACAGCAAAGCCAACTCTAGCCCAGCTTATCAGTCCCCATGGATACTTCGAAGAGGCCTCTGAAGGCGGCCCCATACTCAGCCTCAATCAGGAGAGACTTGGAAAGGAGAATCTCTTTTTTTTGTTGTTTTGTTTCCATGGTTTTGTCTGGATCTGTTTCTCAGCTCCTCCGAGACTGACTTTCAGACAACAGAATAGTGTCTTAGAGAATTGAAACTGGTGGGACTTTTCCAAGAAAACACAGCATAGAAATCACAACCTAGAAACAGAAATTGAAGTGACAGCTAGAGATGCTATGAATTCATTCGTTTGGCTAAAGCAAAAGCTAAAGGGGACGAAAGGGAAAGAACCTTCCAGTAAAAACAACAGAAGGATCATATAGCAGATGCCAGCTGCCAAGGGACAATTTCCCAATTGGTGATGACAGGTTCCTTAGGGTAAAAGGAAAGGCCACAGCTAGTGGAGTGGGTGTGGGTGCAGGCAACAATGGGGTGTGGGGAGGAAGTGATGTTAGATCAGAATCTGCCAATCCACATTTGAGACTTGCCACATTTCTCTGAGGATTATTTCTAACTAGGAAAGATTACCCTCACCCTCTTCCAGTTCCTGCCTTAGATGCAAACTTCCTGAAGGCAGAAAGTGACCAGGCAAAACCATATCTGAGCCTTTAAAAAATATGGTGATGACATGATGGAGATGGTGACAATTGGTTTTAAAGGGTGGTGACACATGTAAGCTCTACAATAGCCTCTACATTAACTTCTGAGAATTCCTGTGAACCCCCCAGGGAGCTGTTACCTAAGCACTGTCCTTCCAGGAGCCAATATCCATCGGTGCAGGAGCAGGTATACCCTCCTTCAGTGTTGATGCAGATCTGGGTCGGGTTGCACTGGTGGGAATCTGTTGCACACTCATCCACATCTGAAACACAGACATATTCCAAAGAATGTCACACACCTCTGCCTAGAACCCTGGAGCCACCAGAGGTGCCAGCTCTTTGCTTGTCTTGGCTGGTAGGCAGTTGGTAATGTCCCTGGGTTACACCCAAGGAGGCCACTAGGAGACACTGACATTTAAGACAAGGGGGAAGAGCTCAGAAACCCACAGAGGAAAATGGCCAAGAAGGGAACACACATCCTAATGCACTCTTCTGCCACTTGATCCCACCACTCTCTAAAAGTAGGTCACCTTGGTCACGACCATTACTTGTATTCGGCTTACTCATTCAGCTATTAAAGAAGGGTCTATTGAGCACCTACTGTGTGCTCAGGACTATGATAAACACCACTGAGAACTAACAGAATGAAAAGAAATGTTTGTTGCCAACAGGAGCTTCTAGTCTAATCACGTGATTGTCTCATTCATGAAAATCTTTCCGCTCCTGACCCTTCAGGAAGCTTCCTGGAGCCCGCCTGGCTTCCCTGCACTCCAGAGCCCCTGGGTTCATCTCTCTCTGCCCTAGTTCACACTGGGTCTCTTCATGCTGCTGAATAACCTGTCATGGTCTGTCTGGCAGTAAGTGAAGGCATAATACTTGTGTCCAAGTCGGTCTCTTCTGTTTAACTGGGAGCTTCAGAGCATAGAGTCAAGCTGTATCTGTGGCCTTATCTCCCAAGGCAACTGGTGCAGGCTCTGTACACAGATAATGCTCAAAACTGTTTGTTTAAGCTGAAGCAAATTCTTCTCCTCCTTCTCTCTGCATTGCACTTTAGGGGAGCGTGCCCTGGACCCTCTAATGGGACCTCCTCATGCCACACTCTCACTTTGACCTAAAGGAGGAGACTTTCCACGGAACATTCACCATTAACTCACCCAGCAAGCACTCACTGAGTACCCTGGACCTGCCTGGCCTGAACACCAGGGCCCCTCCTCCGCGTCGGTCCTGCCCTGGCCAGCTGCACCTCAGTGGGGCACGTTCCTTTGTCCTCCATACTGTAGTGAGGGCTTCCTCACCTACACCTTCTCCCTGCTGCCCCCAAACATACCCCAGTGCAGTGGGCAATCACTGTAATTCACTGCACCTGTGTAGTGTGTACTATGCTGCTGCATTTATTCTCACAATCACCCTGTGAGGTGGGCTCCTGACTCCCGTTTGACAAAGAGGGAAACTGACTGAAAGAGGTAAGATGCTCCAAGCCAAGAGCTGAGCCCGGGCCTCTCTGCTTATATGCTGCCAAGTCCACTCTGTGCAGGACAACAGAGGTCACGATGCCCAGAACCTAGCAGGGATCGGGAGGGAGCTGGTGGACCAGGCAGAGGAGAGAGACCTGCCTTTTGCCTACCCAGCCTCAAAAACCGTCTGCCCCTTGACGGTGTAGACTTTACCATCATCCTTTCAGCTGACTGCTTTGGACGTGTGTAGTAGGGTGGGGTGTGGGCGTCTAGGCCCAGAGGTGTCAGCTCCTTGAGGACAAGGGCCTAATGTAGTCCAGGGTTTTGCATGCTGTAGCCTCAGGCAGCCAGCATGACCAACTAAGTAAACTATTCTTTGGCCAGGGATCCTGGGTGGTTCAAATGGTTAACAGGCTCAGCTGCTAACCAAAAGGTTGGAGGTTCGGGTCTACCCAGAGGCACCTCCGAAGAAAGCCCTGGCAATCTACTTTTGAAAAATCAGCCATTGAAAACCCTACGGAACACAGTTCTACTCTGACACACATGGGGTCGCCATGAGTCAGAATCCAATCAACCACAAACGGTTTCGGCCAGCTAAGCAAGGTTCTTTTAGGTTCATGCAACACCACCACAATCCACTCGCCTGCAACAACTCCACTCCAGCAACACTCCACCCCGAAATCAAAGGTGACCAGGCATCCCATGGAGCCAGCGCGGACAGCCTCCAAGAGCCTGGGCTCCAGGGTGGCCACAGCCTCCACTCTACCCTGCCACCAGGTTGGCTGGCTATGTGCAGCCTTGGTGGCCAAGACCCAGCCCAGTTCCCAGCAGCAAAGCCTCTCTTGCCTCTGCCCTTTGCCTCCCCTCCACTGTGTAAAGCTGCCCAGGGAAGCAGGTGGATAATGCTTGGCCAGCAGCTGCTCCCACTCAAACCCATATCAAAACCTATGATAATAAATAACGCTACTATCGACCAGTGCATATTTACATTGTTCTGGTCAGGACTGATGGATGGCAATTGTACCCTGGGAACAACAGTGCCTTAGGAATCTGTGCTCTTTTTCCTGCCTCGAAGGGAATGAAGGATGAGTGAGACCAAAGTGGGAAAAGAACTGTTGGCAATCCTTGGTCACAGCCAGTTCCCACGTCTCTGTGTAAATTACGGCACACACAGTGCCCACAAAGCCCTGCACAGAGAAAACAAACAGTTGCAAGTAGACTGAGCTCAAAATGTGTGCGTGTGCACGTGTATGCAAGAAAGAGACCGTGAGAGAGAGCACGTGTGAAATATTCAGGCTAAAAACCAAAGTATTTTAACTTCATTTTTCAAAAACTCCACCTCTTTTACTGAGTTAAAGAATGAACTCAGTTATACCCCATTTCTATTGATGTACAGCAACACCATGATAAACAGAGAAAACACTGAAGTTGTCAAGGATTTCATTTTACTTGGATCCACAATCAACACCCAGGGAAGCGGCAGTCAAGAAATCAAACAACATATTGCGTTAGGCAAATCTGCTGCAAAAGGCCTCTTTAAAGTGTTAAAAAGATGTCGCCTTGAAAACTAAAGTGTGCCTGACCCAAGCCATGGTATTTTTAATTGCCTCATATGCATGCGTAAGCTGGACCATGAATAAGGAAGACCGAAGAACATCTGACGCCTTTGAACTATGGTGCTGGCGAAGAATCTTGAATATACCATTGACTGATAGAAAAACAAACAAATCTGTCTTGGAAGAAGTACAGCCAGAATGCTCCTTAGAAGCAAGGATGGCAAGAGTTCATCTCATATACTTTGGACATGTTATCAGGAGGGATCAGACCCTGTAGAAAGATATCACGCTTGGTAAAATAGAGGGTCAGCAAAAAAAGAAGACCCTCAACGAGATGGATTGACACAGTGGCTGCAACAACGGGCTCAAGCGGAACAATAATTGTGAGGATGGTGCAGGACCAGGCAGTGTTTCATTCTATTGTACAGAGGGTCTCTCTGAGTCGGAACCGACTCAATAGCACCTGACAACAACACTGATGTACATTTAAAAAGTTAAAACTTTAACTTTCACTAACTCGTTTCATTGATTGTCAATATAAAGAACATTTTCAGAATTCAGTAAGTCCCTAAAGTTTTGGGGGGCATGTCTCACCTCTACATCCTCAAAGTACACCTGGTACCACGCTGGGCCCCTGGTACAGGTTCAGTAAATATTTGGCACATAAATGAATGAGCCCACGAACAACAAACAAACATGAATGCATTGCAGCCCCCAGATGAGCTTTTCTCTGCCAACTTGCTGACAGGACCGCTTTGATGTGTGGACTTTAAAAAAAATCAATCACCAGCACGAAAACCACTGTCCGCTTCCACACCTGGTGGAGCTGAAATGTTCACACGGTGGGTTTTCACCCAGGGCTAGAAGGCGCATCACACATTCCAGCTCACAGCGGAACTGCTTACATTAAATACGTTTGACTTAAGTAACAGAAGGAAAAATACATTGAGCCACTCCAAGGACATTCTTTGGCAGCGCCTCCCTTTCTGCATCAGTGGAAAAGTACAAGTTATGGCAACCTGAGCAAGTGCCATTATCCCCGTGCCCAAACCGGCCTGTGATTTCCTCTCCTTTTCTGTACAATATTTAAGAATTGTCTCCTAAGAGAAGAAAATGCTTGGTTCAAGCAATCACTTACCTACTCATTCACTCATTCTTTCTTTCTTTATGTTCTACAGTGGCTTGTGTGTGTGTGTGTGTGTGTGTGTGTGTGTGTGTCCCCTCCCAAACTTCCAGACCATTTGAGAGAGCCGGCATCGGGTGCAGTCCCTCCCACTGTATTGTTCTCAGAAGCAGGCTTTACTGAGAGTCCTTGGGCCACCCTGCCTCCCTCCTGGGAGCTACAGCCCCAGTCAGCTGTCGGAGCACTTGGAGGATTCGGCCACAGCAACCATGGCTCGCCTCTCCCCAGGTGGAGCAAAGTCCACTTGCTGTCCAGGCAACTGGTGCCCTGGCAACTGGAAGAAAGAGAGCTCACTGACTCTTCCAGAACCTGGCGGCACATCAAAGGCCAGCGTTGCACCTGCCCAGGAAGCAATGGTCATCTGCATCGAGCCACGCGATTCTGCTAACCTGTGCAGCTTAGTCTGCGCTGCTAACCCCTCCCTGCAGTCGTCCCTGGAGTGGCCTTTCTTTAAAATGTTCTCAATCTGATACAACAACAGCCTACTTAGGAAAGTCATCAAACCCAGTCAAGATCATCTCCTTGACGCCTTCCCACGAGGCCTCAGGCAGAAGTGAGCTCCCAGTCCTCAGGACTTGATGATTCCCACTCATGGCAACCTCGTGTGTGTCAGAGCAGGACTGTGCTCCTTAGGGTTTTCAATGGCTTATTTTTCAGAAGTAGATTGCCAGCTCTTTCTTCCAAGGTTTCTCTGGGTGGACTCAAATCGCCAACCCTTTGGTTTGCAGTAGAGCCCATTAACCATGTGCACCACCCAGAGACTCCCAAGATATGTTAGTAACACTCATTTAGGATTTCATACCACTAGTGATGTCTCATGTACCCAGCAGACGGTTTCATGCATGCAGGGACGCTAAGGCAGTGTGAAAAAAAGAACACTCCTAGTCCGGTCAACATCTCACAGAGGCACTGGATGGAGGAACTGGCCTCAAGACGTCAGAATGTAACTGTCCAACAAAACTACCCAAATCTCCCACTCTGACTCAACGGAGAGCACAGGGAGGGGCCACAGCCCACAAAGATACGGGGAGTTTCAGCCCTGGGAGCAAGAGTCTGTGATGGAAGCAAGT